CCCTAAAAGTACCAAAGGTAAGTAAGAGTTTAAATGGAAACACTTCTTAAAATTAACCATGCCTTAGTAATTGACACTATTGTACTTTGTGCCTACAGTGAATGAAAGGTGATAAAAAGAAGGTTATAGGGCAGCTCAGTTTTGCTTTTTATATGTGCAGCTGATTCTCTTACTTTTCACTATGGCACAGTGCATTTATCTTCAGGTAATAAAATTTAGTGAATGTACAGTTCAGTAAGGAACTCTTCACAAAACACTAGCTTTAAACCAAAAGTTACTACAAGTTTGGCTTTTCTAGGGTGGTGGAGTAACATTTAAAGGGGGGGGTTGGGCCTGTGTAGCTGACTTATCTTCTGAAACTGTTTATCATATTGGGAGCTGAAGTAACTCTGTTCCCGGTGCTCGGGTTTGCTAAGGTTGATTCAAGCTCAACAGTTTGTATGGACGTCAAGATGTATTTTCACATCCTGGGATTCAATTCTCTTCTTGTAAGACTCCTTCTGTAGGGAGAGATCATTGTATTCGCTGGTTTACATATGTCAATGACTTTTCTCTGGAAGAGACTCAAAGCAATTGGGCAATAACCAAGATTAATTTTTTCTATCTTGAATAAAAAACATTGCGTTCTCTAGATAATTGCCGTGTATGTTTTGAAAGTTTGAAGAACTGTGGGCTATTTAAATTGTGTTGCTTCCACTTAACTGTATTGATGCCATACAAGTTATTTTTTTAACCGTGTAAAATAGAAAATCTTTCCTTTGTTTTTATCAAGGTGATGGAGAGGACAGCAGACCAGGAATGAGAGGAGGCCATCAGATGGTCATTGATGTACAGACAGGTGAATGGTCATTCAGTCTTTAAGAAAAAAGTTCTTGTCATTTTTTCTTTTGGGACTTAGTTATGTTCAGTTGATACCAGTTCAGCTATAAATATGCAAATATGTTTCTTCCTTTGTGTACTCATATTTTTCCTATTGTCATTGAGCTAAAACTCTGCTCTTATTGTGTCTAGACTCAGTCATGCTGCTTTCCCTCAATGCAACCCTACTTCACTTGTCTAGATTTCAGTCTGCTTGTTTTGGTGATGCAGGAGTGACTTCTTCCATAGATGATCTGATGTTTGGGTTGCGGGAGGATGCCCCCAATCTTTCCCCACTACCGTCAGCAGGTAGGGAAGTCTGGAAGGAGTCTCAGCCTGTGCTGCCCAAGTATTGCTGGTCTCTAATGCACATTGATAACCCAGGAGCCTTGTGATTAAGAGCTAGGGCTTTTTCCTGAGAGGGGGTTGGCTGGGATCTTAAAAATAAACCAGTAATTTTTTAAAATGTGTATTGTGGGCCATACTTCAAAGCTCTGTGCATCTCTGGATATCTGCTTCATCTCAATGGGCATCCGCATCTGTGGCTGTAGATATCTACTCATTTTTGCAGATACAAATTTTGTTTCTGCTCAGGGCTCTAGCCCACTTTTCTAAAATCTTTACTCATGGGAGAGTTCGGCACCAAAAAATTAAATTCTGTGCACAACTTTTTAATTCTGCATATTTTTTGTCAAAATAACACCGTATAATCATGCCGGTTTCAATTGTTTAGGTAACTTAATTAATCTACAGTACAATGGATGGAGAAGGGGCCTGAGGAGCACTGGAAAAAATCACCAAACCCTCTTGCCTAATAGTAATGTAGCTGGGTTTTGCTTTTTAGTCACTGTTGTTAGTCAACAAATATGTGCAGCTGTATGCTCAGTGTTACATCATAGGCAACTGAAGAACAAGTGAGGTCTTCAGAATCTAACTCACCATTTATATGAGCGACTGACCATCTCCAGAAAGGTCAGAAGCAGTCAGTTCATGGAGCACATTGCGATAAACTTTCAGTCCAAAAATTTAGACCAGTTCTAATACTAGAGCACCATAAACCTTTAAAAGGTCATATTGTCCTTTCCACCACTCTGACAATGTGAAGGAGCCTTAAAACTTTTATACCTGTGTTAAACTCCTGGGGAAATTCACAAAGACGACAATCCTCTAAGCAAGCAGACTGCTACAATCAGAGCCTGCCCCATGCCTAGCTCCTTAAACACCCTGGCTATGTCTACACTGGCCCCTTTTCCGAAAGGGGCATGCTAATTTCACAGGTCGTAATAGGGAAATCCGCGGGGGATTTAAATATCCCCCCCATTTAAATAAAAATGTCCGCCGCTTTTTTCCGGCTTTTAGAAAAGCCGGAAAAGAGTGTCTACACTGGCCCCGATTCTCCGGAAAAGAGCCCTTTTCCGGAGGATCTCTTATTCCTACTTTGAAGTAGGAATAAGCTTTGAAGTAGGAATAAGAGATCCTCCGTGTAGACGCTCTTTTCCGGCTTTTCTAAAAGCCGGAAAAAAGCAGCGGACATTTTTATTTAAATGCCACGGGGGATATTTAAATCCCCTGCGGATTTCCCTATTACGACCTGTGAAATTAGCATGCCCCTTTTGGAAAAGGGGCCAGTGTAGATGTAGCCCCTGAAACTTTCCTTTCACAACAAGCATGCCTATAGCAAATGAGAGGGTTGGTCTCTCACCTGAAGAAGTGGTTGTGATTCATCTGAAGTGGGTTGTGCCCATGAAAGCTCATGGCACCATCTACATTTTTTGTTAGTCTCTAAGGCCATGGTCACCAACTGGTCGTTCACGAGCTACTGGTCGATCTCGAGGCCTTGACCAGTCGCTCGCAAGGCGTCCTGTAAGCCCCCCCCATTTCCCTCCCACCCCCCAGAAGCCCCACTACTTACCTCCAGAGAAGACGGAGGTAGTGTCGGCTTCCGGCGCACTGGGGTTTGGCCCCGGCGGGGCTTCCCGCTGCGGGGCGGGGTGGCGCTGGGACAAGCG